TTCACATGTTGGTCAATTTGATTAATTCAATGTTGCAACTTGATAATCACTGCCTGTTGTCTTATATAAGACCTGTGATGGATCCTTCAATAAACAATAAGCAAGTCTAGAAAGCCAACGAGACAGCTAACTAGCCGTAGTACTCCGCGTTTAGCGATCGACGTACGTACGTCCATGGCAACCGTCCAGCAGATCCGTCACGCGCAGCGCTCGGACGGCCCGGCGGCCGTGCTTGCAATCGGCACAGCGAACCCGGCGAGCTGCATGCTCCAGAACGACTACGCCGACTACTACTTCCGCGTCACCAACAGCGAGCACCACGCCGACCTCAAGGACAAGCTCAAGAGAATCTGTAAGACCATGCATGCCCTGCACCTGCAGCGTAAACCTAACCTAGTAACCTATAAACGTATCGGCGTACGTTTCCAATTTCCAAATGCATGCATATTTGCGGTGAGCTACTATGTAAAATGTTCTCCTGTCCAGGTAAGAATTCGGGCATCGAGAGGCGCTACGTGCACCTCGACGAGGAGCTCCTCGGCGCGCACCCGGACTTCAGCGACCGCGCGCTGCCGACCCTCGACGCGCGGATAGACATGGCCTCGGCCGCGGTGCCCGAGCTCGCCGCGTCCGCCGCGGCCAGGGCCATCGCCGAGTGGGGGCGCCCGGCCGCCGACGTCACGCACCTCGTCTTCAGCACCTACTCCGGCGGGAAGGCCCCCAGCGCCGACCTCCGCCTGGCGTCGCTGCTCGGCCTCCGCCCCACCGTGTCCCGCACCATCCTCAGCCTCAACGGCTGCTCCGGTGGCGGCAGGGCGCTGCAGCTCGCCAAGGAGCTCGCCGAGAACAACCGCGGCGCGCGCGTCCTCGTGGCCTGCTCCGAGCTCACCCTCATCGGGTTCTACGGGCCCCAGGAGGGTCGCCTCGACACCATCCTGGGCAACGGCATATTCGGCGACGGCGCGGGCGCCGTCATCGTCGGCGCCGACCCCGTCGACTGCATTGAGCGCCCGCTGTTCGAGATGGCCTTCGCCACGCAGACGACGATACCGGAGACCGAGAACGAGATCACCACGCGGCTCATGAAAGGCGGCCTCGACTTCCACGTCTCCATCCGGGTGCCGAAGCTGCTGAAGAGCAACATCGAGCGCTGTCTGATCGACACGTTCAAATCTATTGGGATCAGTGCTGAGTGGAACGATCTCTTCTGGGCGATCCACCCTGGTGGCCGTGCGATTTTGGACCACGTTGAGCAACTGCTCGGGCTGGGCGTCGAGAAGCTGGCCGCGAGCCGACGGGTGCTGAGAGAGTACGGGAACATGAGTGCCGCCACGGTGATCTTCGTGCTCGATGAGCTGCGCCGGCGTAGGGCAAGGGGAGAAGAGGTGGCCGAGTGGGGTGTGATGATGGCGTTCGGTCCGGGGATCACGATCGAGACCATGGTGCTGCACGCCGCAGGCAGCCTCAAGGAAAACTAGCTATTCTTAAAGAGCAACTGAATCATATGTTTCTGGAGGTTGTGTAGTAACTTGGTGATCTTGGACTGGGCTAGGTTGCTGCAGCAGACACCAAACATGAAGGGTAGACTTATAAGAAACAGCCAACTCTACCTCAAAATAAAATAAAATAAAATAAGAAAGAGCCAACTTAACATGGCTATGTGCATCGACATTGGAGTTTCTCCCTTCATTTATCTTTATTCTATAGCGATGGCTTTGCCTTGTCTATTAATCAAGGAGAGAATAGAGTTTTACAACTGTCCTTTAAAACATAACATGGCGATTACTCGCTCAATATAATTTGTCTTAGTTTTTTAGGACCCGTGGTGACCCATAGTTTCACCTCGTCAAAGATGATGTTCAACAAGAGACCCGTGGCGGGGCACACTTATGCCGAAAGACGCGTAAGTTCTCTTGTCCATATTTTCCAAGAGACAAGTATGGTGAGGAAGATCATGGCTCGACTGTTTGGGTTTTGCATGCATGTTCTCTTGTCCCACCAATCCTTCAAAAAGCCCTCCAAATGCCAAGTGAATGTATCCATGTGTACAAGGCCTAGCTTCTCTCTTGTCCCACCAATCCTTGAAGGAGCCCTCCAAATGCCAAGTGGATGTATTCATGTGTACAAGGCCTAACTTCTCGATGACCAATCTCCAAAATTCAAGGGTGTAGCACACTTGAAGGATAGATGAGCTCCGGTTTCTTACTCCCTTTTACAAAGAGGATAAAGTCCACAATTTGCTCATCCACGTCTTTCAAACTAATAGGCGTTCCAAGTCTGATCTTGCAATGCCAACCAACCAAAAAAATTGTCTTTTGGAGGGGCCCAAACTATGAGATCCATGGAGGAGTGGGTCATTCCAAGGAATTGAGTCTTATAGGCGGTAGACGCTGAATAGACCCCATCATTCAAGTGCTTCCAAACCGTGTCGTCCTCGGTTTGCCCTTAATGGTGAACCAGCGCTTGTGAACATAGTATTTTTCCAGTGATTTAGCTATGAACAAAGCACTGCTTCGTGCACATGCATCCAGACATCCAATGTAATGTAAAAATTCAACTTTGGACACCTCATAGCATCAAGACTGAAATAGGAACACAATCTAGACAAAACACCTCGCTCTATGTCACTTGGCCCATCAGTATTTATCATGGTATGTTACAAAATTGCTAGTAGAAGCAAATCTGTATATTTTAAGCCAATATAGGCCATATTGGTAGAACCGTATGTCAATTTTTTTTCAAAATACGACGCGTTCTGCATCAAATTGGCGGAATTTCGCTCAGGGCGCACCCTAACAAGGCCGGTCCATGTAGCGAGTACGGTTTCTGTAACGAGCTGGTACAATGGCGGCTCGGGCCCTATAATGTTCTTTTTCATCCGACATTTTTTAAACGTGGGATGATAACCCACAAGTATAGGGGATCGCAACCGTTTTCGAGGGTAAAGTATTCAACCCAAATTTATTGATTCGACACAAGGGGAGCCAAAGAATATTCTCAAGTATTAGCAGCTGAGTTGTCAATTCAATCACATCTGAAAACTTAATATCTGCAACAAAGTGTTTAATAGCAAAGTAATATGATAGTAGTGGTAACGGTGGTAAAAGGTAACGGTAGCCAAAGTAATATTTTTGGTGTTTTGTAGTGATGATAACAATAGCAATGGAAAACTAAATAAGCATAGAACAATATATGGAAAGCTCATAGGCAATGGATCGGTGATGGAGAATTATGATGGATGCGGTTCATCATGTAACAGTCATAACCTAGGGGGACACAGAACTAGCTCCAGTTCATCAATGTAATATAGGCATGTATTCCGAATATAGTCATACGTGCTTATGAAAAAGAACTTGCATGACATCTTTTGTCCTACCCTCCCGTGGCAGCGGGGTCCTATTAGAAACTAAGGGATATTAAGGCCTTCTTTTAATAGAGTATCGGAACAAAGCATTAACACATAGTGAATACATGAACTCCTCAACCTACGGTCATCACCGGTAATTATCCCGATTATTGTCACTTCGGGGTTAACGGATCATAACACATAATAGGTGACTATAGACTTGCAAGATAGGATCAAGAACTCTCATATATTGATGAAAACATAATAGGTTCAGCTCTGAAATCATGGCACCCAGGCCCTAGTGACAAGCATTAAGCATAGCAAGGTCATAGCAACATCAATCTCAGAACATAGTGGATACTAGGGATCAAACCCTAACAAAACTAACTCGATTACATGATAAATCTCATCCAACCCATCACCGTCCAGCAAGCCTGCGATGGAATTACTCACGCACGGCGGTGAGCATTATGAAATTGGTGATGGAGGATAGTTGATGATGACGATGGCGATGGATTCCCCTCTCTGGAGCCCCGAACGGACTCCAGATCAGCCCTCCCGAGAGAGTTTAGGGCTTGGCGGCGGCTCCATATCGTAAAAAACGATGAATCCTTCTCCCTGGTTTTTTCTCCCCGAAAGTGAATATATGGAGTCCAGGTTGAGGTCGGTGGAGCGTCAGGGGGCCCACGAGGCAGGGGGCGCGCCCAGGGGGTAGGGCGAGCCCCGACCCTCATGGACAGGTGGAGGCCCCCCTGACATGGATCTTCCTTCCAGTATTTATTATATATTCCAAAATAATTATCCGTTGATTTTCAGGTCATTCCGAGAACTTTTATTTCTGCACAAAAATAACACTATGGCAATTCTGCTGAAAACTGCGTCAGTCCGGGTTAGTTCTATTCAAATCATGCAAGCTAGAGTCCAAAACAAGGGCAAAAGTGTTTGGAAAAGTAGATACGACGGAGACGTATCAACCCCCCCAAGCTTAAACCTTTGCTTGTCCTCAAGCAATTCAGTTGATAAACTGAAAGTGATAAAGAAAAACTTTTAAAAACTCTGTTTGCTCTTGTTGTTGTAAATATGTAAAGCCAGCATTCAAGTTTTTAGTAAAGATTATGAACTAATGATACGTCTCCAACGTATCTACTTTTCCAAACACTTTTGCCCTTGTTTTGGACTCTAGCTTGCATGATTTGAATGGAACTAACCTGGACTGACGCTGTTTTCAGCAAAATTACCATGGTGTTATTTATGTGCAGGAGCAAACGTTCTCGGAATGACCTGAAACTTCATGGAGACACTTTTCAGAAAATAAGAAAAATACCTGCCAAAGATGAAGGCCAGGGGGCCACCACCTTGCCACGAGGGTGGGGGGCGCGCCCCCTACCTCATGGGCCCCCTATTGCGTCTCCGACTCCAACTCCACCTCCATATATTGAGTTTCGGGGAGAAAAAAATCAAGGAGAAGAAATCATCGCGTTTTACGATACGGAGCCACCGCCAAGCCCTAAAACCTCTCGGGAGGGCTGATCTGGAGTCCGTTCGGGGCTCCGGAGAGGGGAATCCGTCGCCATCGTCATCATCAACCATCCTCCATCACCAATTTCATGATGCTCACTGTCGTGCGTGAGTAATTCCATCGTAGGCTTGCTGGACGGTGATGGGTTGGATGGGATCTATCATGTAATCGAGTTAGTTTTGTTAGGGTTTGATCCCTAGTGTCCACTATGTTCTGAGATTGATGTTGCTATGACTTTGCTATGCTTAATGCTTGTCACTAGGGCCCGAGTGTCATGATTTCAGATCTGAACCTATTATGTTTTCATCAATATATGAGTGTTCTTGATCCTATCTTGCAAGTCTATAGTCACCTATTATGTGTTATGAGCCGTTAACCCCGAAGTGACAATAATCGGGATATTTACCGGTGATGACCGTAGTTTGAGGAGTTCATGTATTCACTATGTGTTAATGCTTTGTTCCGGTTCTCTATTAAAAGGAGGCCTTAATATCCCTTAGTTTTCGTAAGGACCCCGCTGCCACGGGAGGGTAGGACAAAAGATGTCATGAAAGTTCTTTTCCATAAGCACGTATGACTATGTTCGGAATACATGCCTACATTTGGAGCTAGTTCTGTGTCACCCTAGGTTATGAATGTTACATGATGAACCGCATCCGGCATAATTCTCCATCACCGATCCATTGCCTACGAGCTTTCCATATATTGTTCTTCGCTTATTTACTTTTCCGTTGCTATTGCTATCATCACTACAAAATACCAAAAACATTACTTTTACTACCATTACCTTTTGTTACCGTTATCACCACTATCATATTACTTTGCTACTAAACACTTTGCTGCAGATATTAAGTTTCCAGGTGTGGTTGAATTGACAACTCAGCTGCTAATACTTGGGAATATTCTTTGGCTCCCCTTGTGTCGAGTCAATAAATTTGGCTTGAATACTCTACCCTCGAAAACTGTTGCGATCCCCTATACTTGTGGGTTATCAAGACTATTTTCTGGCGCCGTTGCCGGGGAGCGTAGCTCTGTTCTTTGAGTCACTTGGGATATATATCTGCTTATCATTATGAAGAACTTGAGAGATCCAAAAACCAAGATCTATCCCTCAACTACGAGGGGAGGTAAGGAACTGCCATCTAGCTCTGCTCTTGATTCACCTTCTGTTATGAGTAAGTTTGCGACACCTACACCTGCTTCTGCTATTCGTTCTGTTATGTCGCATGTTATTGATGATGCCGCTTCTGCTATGCATGATACTTATGATGAAACTACCTCTATGCCTGATACTACTATGCCACTTAGTGATTTTCTTGATGAACAACTTGCTAGGGCTAGAGAAATTGAAAATATTGAATCTGATGATACTAATGAAAGTGATGATGAAGAACCACTTGCCATTCCTAAGGGTTATGTTTTTGTTCAAGATGCTTCTTTAGCTATTTTAGCTTGCACAAATAGAACTGAACTTAAAAAATTACTAGCTAAATGGAGTAAGCAATCTCTAAATGATAGAATGAAACCTGACCTTGCTTTTGCTACTTCACCTATCTTTGTTACTGATAAGGATTATGAATTCTCTGTTGATCCTGATATAATTACTTTGGTTG